GGAGGATATTCTTGCGCCGACCAAGGTACAACAGCCCTCAGTTCAATGAGTCAGATGTGGTGGTGGGCCGTGCCGTGCCCCCGGCAAACGGAGCTGCTGGTGCAAAGCAGACCGCTTGAGAGTGCGACGCCTTTGCCGGCTGGGATGATGTCCTGTGATAAGTATATGCAACTAAAGCAGGATATTGATGTGGCTGTGTCTGTAACACCATCCTGCAGCCGGTGCGAGTTTTGATGCTTTCCCCTTGTTGCCTCTGTCATTGTGCATCATGTCATGACCGGCAATCATGAGGGGGAAGCATGTTTGGACAGCTGCCTTGTGGCAATGAAGTGTCCAAACCTGATTTAAAATTCGGGGCGACAGTGGTCCCCTATTCCGCTGGATCTACACTGTAGCCTGTACCTGGTGATATCTAGTAGAAGTTTTTCTGTTGCCAGAGGATATACGAGCGGAAGAGAGCCCACGAGTTGTAATCACCAAATTGTAAGACGATTCACGTCTGTTTAACTGCAGGGGAAAACCGAAGGTCCTCCCTGCTGCCTCAATTTTGGTGACATGCTTGAAGAGATGCTCCGTTCAGAATACACTACTGCACCGAAGCCCGGGCGCCCAAGTTCTGGAATTGTAAAGCTGTTTGAAAGTGGCATGCGGTTCTCGGATGAGTTCAGAGCCATTTCAAAAAAGCAGAAAACTCTTTTTGAACTTGAGAGACGCCGTGGGGAGAAAAAGTCTGCAGCACCTCAGGGCCTATCTGTTGGGGCAGATAGCTTTTTCATCTCCAGCTTGTTCCCTTTGTGTTGACTTAGAATGGTCATTTTGTCGCAACGTTTTGTAACACCAAAGCTACGAGCGCTAAAGCTCTCGCGATAGGTCCCTCAGATTGCCACGTGTGCAAAGACGTTTCTTGGTCTGGCTCAAGGATTCACTGGAGGTGGGCAGGTTTTAAGTTTCGAGATGACCTGATAAGCCGTTATTCAAAATTTCGAAATTCAGTTGCTTGCCTTCTTGCAACCTTTCCATGGTGATGAGTCTGATATAAAATTGCACGTCCAATATAAAGCACGTCCAATATCAAACTCTATGCTGAGGGTTGCCATGTGCAGATATGCTCTAGCCTTAACAATGATGAAAAGCTATCTAGTGACTGCAGCATCCCTGCGGGCAACGAAGAACTAAACTTCAGCACAACCTTGACGAGCACCGTCTCCACAACCAAGCATACAGCGGACTGCGCAGCAGCCAAAGACGGCTGCAGCTAAGCTACCAGCACTTGAAACACTTGTGCGCTGACTAGACACGATGGTGACAATCTCTCACTACAAGGCTCGTTGCTTCTGCTTGAAGCCCTGGCTGTAGACTTCAGTATTGCAGGCTTAATGGGCAGCGGGGTCGGATCAAGGATGTCGAAGGAGAATGTTCTCAGCTTGGCGCCTGACTGCCATCAGATCTCCAACACGCTGGGAGTGGGCACTTTTGGCAAGGCGGCGGCCTTATCTAGCTGTCCCAGTTTCACATCACTTTCATGGGAAACTTAGCTCTTCATACGAAGTTAGTTGGTAGCAAGGCGCTTATACACAAAGCGCAGTTCATGTGCTTTTAAGGTCAAAATGGCCGAGCACACCCTGACAGGGCAAAAGGCGTACACCTCAGCCAAGGAAAGCTTATGTGGAGTTCGGACTGCTTCCATACCACCGTCCAGCCTAAGCAGTTGTCTTGTGGAGGCGAGCCAGCATGTAGTCAGGTCGGGGGGCTATATGTTTCAGGTATGATAAATCAGGTCCACAAATTGTGTTCCTGCATGAGTAAGCTTTGCTCGAGCTTGTTGATTTTAAAACTTCTGGCACATGCTTTGTGCTGGCTGAGCCTGAAGGACACATGGCCAGCTAAGCAAAAACCTCTTGAGCGGAAAGCCCATGAGCTTGCAAACAAGTTGCCATGTAGATTTCGGGTTTGCGGGAATGCCTGGTCCAAGAAGATTTATGTTCATGGGCCGCAGGTGGCAATCAAGATCATCAACAAAAGAAAGATGGAGCAGATGAACATGCACGAGAAGATTCGAAGAGAGATCCAGATCTTGCAGCCGCAGCCTTAAGGGATCTTCCCCATCTCCCCATCTTCTCCAGCTGCATGTTTCAGAACCTAGGTTTCTGAAACACCCTCACGTCATCCGCCTGTACGAGCTCTTGGATACCCCGAGTGACATCTTCATGGCCTCGTCCTCTGGAGATCGCTTTTGTCTTAGGGATTTCTAGAGTCCACTAAAGTCCGCGACTTGACTGTCCGAGGTCATGGAGTATGTGCCGGGTGGTGAGCTCTTCGATCACATCGTGCACAAGCTGAAGCTCCAGGAAGATGAAGCCAGCAGCCTCGGCAACACCGGTGGGTTTGAGTCTGAGTACGATACTAGAGTCTTCGTAGGGACTGGGTATGGCTTGAGGCAGCGCATAGTCGTAGTCCTAGCCGTAATGTGGCATTGTAAGAATCCTCGTAGTCCTGGCAATGCTTTCAGCTGTACCTTCCCTGAAGAGCACAGCTGCTTCCAAATCTCCTCTGAAGGAACACTGCTAGTCTTGTACCTTGCCTTGGTACTTCCCTGCGTCGCAGGCCAGAAGGTTCTTCCAGCAGATCCTCTCGGGCGTGGAGTACTGCCACCAATGCATGGCGGCAGCCTCACCTTGTTGCTTGTCTTGGGGGCCTGGGCCATGTCCTCTTCGCGCATGCTTGGGAATGAGGGCTATCCTCTCCAGTTCCCCAGATACCATGGGCTGTCAGGCTCTAGAGTTCAAGATACGCGGATTTGTCAAAATTCCAGGCATCATGTTCACGCAATCACGCCTTCTACAGGTAAATTGCTGAACCGCAAGCTACCATTAACGCAGCCCTTGAGAGAGAAGTTAAACTCCGTAAACAAGTACTGCGTAAGAATAGACTCTTACTTGGTTCAGTCACCAGGAAGCACTACTTAGGTCACACATCGAGACTTGAAGCCCGAGAACCTGCTTTTGGACTCAAATCTGCTGGCTTCCCAGTGGACCTCGGGTTTCCGAAGACGAGCCTCTTCCGGTCCTCACATTCGGTTTCCCACAATTAGTGGTCCCATTAAAGGGGTTTATAGGTGTTATATAGGGGTGTATATAGGATTTAGGGAGATTACGGTTACTCTTGTTTTGGGGTCCCAAGTGTGAGGACTATATTTGGGGTCAAAATTGGGGTCTCCCTGTTTTTGGAAACTACCATATCATAACTTGACATTTTGACATTTTTGTGGAGGTGACCTGTTTCGAAAACTATGAAGCATTTCTGTAGCTGCATGACAGCCAGCGTCCAGCCACCCTAAGCCATAAACCCTCAACCCCTAAACCCTAAACCCTGAAACCATCATGCAGAGTTTTGAAGTCTTGGAAGGCACGTCAAGATTGCAGACTTCGGTCTATCAAATACAATGTCGGGAGCTGAGGAGCGCGTCACGCGAGCTGTAGTCCAAACTCCTTATCCTTAAAGGGGGATTACAGGGGATTATGTAGGGGAGTATTAAGGGGGATCCTGGGAGTTTATACTATAGCTCAGAGTGCCTCCTCAAATGTCCTGATTGCAATGCCCTGAGGCGTGATGGAGAGTTCCTGAAAACCTCCTGCGGCTCGCCGAACTATGCCTCACCCGAGGTTGTCTCCGGCAAGGCAGTTGCAAGGGGAGGGCTTCATCTTGGTTGAGAGACATTCTTTCTGATGTTGGCCTATGCTGTGCCAAGCTACGATAGCTTCTGCCAGGCATATGTTGGCCCCGAGGTGGACGTTTGGCATTGCCGGCATGTGAAAACAGTGCAAGGCTTCACAGCTCACAGCCATCCCCAAAACATTCCCAACATATTCCCTATACAACCCGTATATATCCCCCATATAACCCTATGTAACCCCTATAACCAAACCCTGCCTTGGCAGGTCCGGGGGTGTAGTCCTCTATGCGCTGCTTTGCGGATCCCTGCCGTTTGATGACGAGAACGTGACTTGGCAGTTCTTGTAGTCCGTGGCATGCAGAGGACCTTGAGTTGTAAGCTGTCGCGGATTTTCATTTCAGTCCTGGCCTGGATGCTGAATTGGTCATCTTTTTTTTGGAGCGGCTCGTGCCAGCTCAGGTCCCGAACCTCTTCAGAAAAATCAAGCACGGGAACTTTACCTTGCCAGGTGCGGGTACGAGTAGCTGCCTGAAGTACAAGGTCATAAGAGGTTTCTGCCAGTTCACTCACTCTCAGTGATGACGTTGAACTACCTGCGGCTTTCCAGAGAGATACTTCCAGATAAAGGGTTCTGGAGTTGGACGCAACATATTGTGATTTTGTCCGGTTGATGGCCGATGTATTTGATTCTGCAGCTTGATTGCAGGTAATTTTATATTTCTCCACATGAGGGATCCGTTTTTCTCAGCCATGCATGTTGTGAGCTATGGGGTTAAGGATCATAGTGCTTTGGGGCCTCTCCTTGTTATGACCTTTCATATCCTTATAAGGAAACAAGAGGAGGCCTGGCAACTGAATGATGTGGGATACGTTATGTAGCCTTCAACCCTAAGGATGGGCCCAGGCCCTGAGGGACCCCGGGAATTTTTGGGGGTGGTTCGGGAATTATGTGAGTCCTTCACAAGCATGGGGACCCCAAAATAGACGTAATCATATACCATAAGCCTGATTGTAGGGACCTCGCAACAAGGGACCACTAGTTTTGGGAAACCCCCCATATGCGGCTTTCCCAATGTTAGGGGTACTTCCTTGGGGTCCCTCTGAAAAGGACTATAGTATTTTGGGGTCTATGTTGGGGTCCCCTATTAAGGAAAACTACAGCCTCATGGCATAGCGCCAGGCCAGGTCTCCCCCAAGAGCCTGTCAGAGCAATTGAGACTCTCCGCTGACATGTTCTGGGTGTCTCAACATAACCCCCATGTATACCCCAATAACGACTCCTAGAATCCCCGTAGAACTGACAAACCCCTTTTTGAGAAACCCCCATCATGACCTTATATTCTGAATGTATACACATATATATATGGTACCGCCCCAAACCTACATTTTTAACATGTCTTCTAGCATTATATAGCTATATATGTATGTCTGGGGGTTGCTGGAGCCATGCTTTGGCAAGAGGCCAAAGGCAGCTATGTGTAAAATGTCGGGTTGAGGGTTCTACGGGGGTATATAGGGGAGTAATGCAGGAAAATTGAAGACACAATGGACAATTGTAGGGGTTACGCGTAGTAGGGTTTTTTGCAGCCAACTATTGACACTGTAAGCCATTCCCGCCACCATTGGTAGCATCAGAAATTCCCTCATGATTCGGATTCGGGTTGTATGGGACTCTGACAATATTAGCAATATTAGCAATATTCTCAGTATTAGCAATATTAGCAGTAGTAACAACAGTAACTATAGTGATAATAGGAAGAGTAGTAAATAGTCATAATATCAAGCGCCCAGCTTGGCCAAGTGCAAGGCACAGGTTTTGTAGCCCTTAAGATCTGCCATCGTAGCTGCCCAGGTTGTACTGAATGCAGAGATGGGCAAAGGGATGATCAAAAGGGATAACATGAGCAGCTTCGCTGTACCTGTTCTCCTCCTCCTCCTTCTTGTACTTTGCATCACGATTTCACAACTTTTGAGAATTGCTCATGGTACTGTTTATCCGCACCCCGCTTCGAAGGCCACCTTAGCAGCGAAGCAAAGGACCTCATCGTCCAGATGCTCGTTGTGGATCCTACAAGGCGAAAATCAGTTTTGAGGTTGATGTTCTGCTTTGGGATGTGTAGCAGCTTTTGTTTTCGAAGTTGTCCATATGGTTTGTGCTTGAGAGTATGGGATTTGAGGGCTGGCAGAATCGAGTTGGGCATTTTCAGAAGCGACTTATCTGTTGCGAGTGTGGGTTGAAGTGGGTCGCCGCTGAGCTCGCGCTTGGCTTCAGATGCGAAGAACAACCTTAGAAGTGCCTCAAAAGACAGGCCTGTTCATCTACAGACGTGCGCAACTCATGTGAAATGCTCTGGGGAATATGTCATCCATCTCCTGATTTGTTTTTTTTTTGTGACAGTCAGACAGTTTTGGTAAGGCTATGGCATGAGGATTAGGAGGAAGGATCCCTTTAGCTGGGAGCACTGGAGATGACCTGTAATGTGCTTGAGCGGGCAGGCGAATCACGTTCTCGCAGATCAGAAAGCATTCCTGGTTCCAGAAGGACCCCAGCCAAGTTTATTGATTTCTGAGCCGGCATGTTCCGGACAAAGGATAGACAAAGTGTGAGACGCAGTGGTGTGTTGCGCAGGACCTGCCAGAGTATCTTGCAGCCCCGCTGAACCTGGCGGTGGAGAAGCTAGACGATGCCTCAGTGCTTTCTACAGAGGCTTATAGGCCAGCGAGGCTAAAGGCCAGCGAGGCTAAACAGCTTTGGTGGTTCGTAGGGAACAAGGGAAGATAATCTCTATATTATCCCCGTAGAACATATTCCTTTGTTCCTTACAACCCCCCAGTAAGTCAACAGCTTTGAGCTGCAGTCAGTATAGTCCTGCTTAAGTAGATAGAATATGGCTTTGGGTATATTAGAATATGATTCCGATGTACCCCATATGCTATCTACTTAAGGGGGACCCTATATAACATAGTAGTTTCCATGTTATTTTCCATTATCCCAATATATCCCCCATATAACCCCTATATAAAGCCCATTATAGTAGTTTCCATTTTCTTTTCCATTATCCCTATATATCCCCTATATAACCCTAATATTCCATCTACAAAAGGGAGATTATGATTATATCCATCCGCCAAGCAAGGAACTTCAGGCAGACATCCTGCAGGACCTGGGTAACTGCAGATGTGAGGGTTTCCCAACTTTAGGAGTCCCCTTGAAGGGTTATATAGGGGTATATAGGGATATGCAGGGTTTTCCAAAATTTAGGGTGCCATTTTGGGGGTCCCCGTAATGAGGATCATAGCATATTGGGGTCTATATTGGGGTCCGTATTGTTGGGAACCATGTATCCCCAGACAACACCGCAGATGCCACGGACCTCTTGCAGGAATTGGAGGACATGGGCATCAAGGTCGCCGATAAAGACAACTTGAAACCTGACGAGCAGGCGCCCAGATCCTCCTCTGACTCTATAATATACTATAATACTTGCAAAAATATACTCTCATATACTACAAATAGGTTATACTATAATATACAAGGATATGCATGCTGCAACCTGCGATGATCCTGATGGAAAGGACCTTTTTGTGTAAGCTGTGTATTCGAGGCAGTGTTGTAACGGGGTTTCCAAAGGGACCATGACTTTGAGAATCCTAGACCAGAAACCGTACCTAAACAGGACATGGTAGTTAGTAGTTTCTATTTTATTTCTGCAAAGTTGCACCCACAATTTTGACAACCCTAAACCCGGCTTCAGGTGGCCTATCACCTGCTCGCTGACCGAGCCTCGAAGCAGAGCAGCTTCTCGAACCTTCTGCGGAAGGCCGCTGCTATCACCACGTCACGGCGCGTCGTCAGTAAGCACAGCGATTCACTGCAAAATCAGGTGGAGTTCCATTCATGTTCTTGTTGCCTCCTGTGCAAACATTACAGTTTCACGTAGGCCGCATGATGCAGGGCATTCTTCAAACACGAGCCGTGCTGATTTGGAGGACCAGGCCAGCATCACTTCGCACAGGATGTTCGACGATGAGGCCTGTTTGCCCTTGGTGTCTAACCGGGGGCTTCCCAAAATTAGGGGTACCTTTTTGGGAGTCCGAGTAAATTGGATTGTAGCATCTTAGTAACGACTTGAGCAGGACTCACTACGCTTGCTCATGGACAGCTGTGCTTGCAAGGAAATTGCAAACGTTGCCAAGCAGTTCGATCAGGACTCTGCCACATGCTCCTGGCCTTCCTCATGCCCCAAGAAGCGTGAGACTCTCCTTAAGAATCTTTCTTGGCAGGCTTTAAAAACAATTTGATTGTCCTGAGAGTGATACGACAGACACCACTTCCAATATGAGCAGGAGAGATCAGCCCCGGTCTACAAGATCGCGGCCTCGGTTCCTTGGCATAAATGAAACGAGATTTAAGTTTACACTGTGGCTCTTAACAGTGGATGTGTAGCAAAACATCTTGCAGTGAAGGCCAACGACAGGGCGGCCATGCTTGCTCAGGCCTGTTTCGTGGTTCGGATTGCGAAGATGACCGGTAGAGGTAGTGTTGCCTGCTGCGGTGCTCAAGCAGGATCGTCTCCAAATCATTTTTGGCCGCAACAGTGCTTGAGGCGACCTACACAGCGCCAGAGTGCCCTTGGCGGTTGGGCTTGGAAGCCATCATGGAGGCAGGGAGATTCTGTGGTCGATCCGAGACTTCCAAGTGATGTATCCACAGTATTTTTGAATCATAGCACTCGCGTCACCCGTGAAGATAATTCACAGTTATCCCAAATACCTTGTGTTTGGCATGTTCGGCTGGGCAGAAGTTCCCTCACAGCAGTCGCAGCCGCCGAGGCAGCCGCAGCCGCAGCCGCAGCAGCACCTGTCATCAAGCCAGCAAGAGCCAGCGGCACTTTTACCGCAGCAATGGGGTAGAGATTGCTACACAAGGAACAAGAGCAACAAAGTGGCAGCCAAGATCGTAAGGACGCCTTTCAGATCCCCTTTGAAATGGCTCAATATGAACAGCAGTCAGGGTAGCAGGAGAGACGCGCGCATTGCTGTACAGGCTGCCGTCCTGATGACTGAAGCATTAGTGACGCTTCGAGATCTGGGCTATGAGGCCTGGACACATTCAGAAGCATTCTGTGCAAGCCCCGGCCGTGCGTCTCTTTTTTTGTCACTTGCAGAAGCATGTTAAACAAACAGCCGAAACTTGCATCGCAATTTTACTTGTTGCCATCTGCCAGTGGAACAACGTGACACCGTGGCGGGTACGTGCTCGGCCTTTGAAGAGACAGAAAAATCTAATGCGTGAGCCTCAGACAGGCATATGAGACGTTACAAACGGCCAAGCTTTGAATGCCCGTGTCCTGAGTGGAGGCACTTGGTAGTTTTCCTAAATAAGGGGACCCCAATATAAACCCCAAAGTACTATAGTCCTTATTATAGGGACCCCCAAAAAAGGTACCCCTCATTTAGGGAAACCCCCACATAGTGCACAGCTTGGAGCGGCGGATCGGCTGCTGTGAGGCTAACGGTCCAGGTGTACAAAGTGTCCTCCGGAAAGTACATGGTGGACGTCCTGATCCCACAGGCAATGGCCAGTAAATATAGTACATGTCACCAAGTGGCATCGTGCAGCCCGCTGGTGCTGCATCTTCCTACTGGCAGGGCCCTACGCTCCCGGCGGTACAAGAAGCTCTGCTCTTCCTGCGGCGGCTCTCGCAGCGGGAGGTGGCTCCTTATGGTAGTTGCTCTTAACAGCGGACCCCAATATAGACCCCAAAATACTATAGTCCTTGTTGTGAGGACCCCCAAAATGGTAACCCTAGATTTTGGGAAGCCCTAAACCCTATATATCCCCACATACCCCTATATAACCTTATAGACCACTTAAGGAGACCCCTAATTTTGGGAGACCTCCCTTTTCCAGTTGTCCGAGTGCTTCTCTTAGCAGCTGGTGCCAGGCCGTAGCCGCCAACATCGTGGTGAGGTGAGCGCTGGTAATTATTTATATTTTCATTATTATGATTAATATTAGTACTCGTACTATTTTTACTATTTAGTGCTACTATTATTAATAATCACTATTACTACTATTGTGACTATGAGGATGATTGTTATTATTATTGCTTCCGAAACCTGCAGCCACAACAGACTGCACCAGGCCTCAAGCCCAGGCGCTGATGCCGGGCCGTCCCTTGACTGCATGAATTTTTTCCGGAGGTTCTAATAAATCACCTCCCCCAAAATAACTAGCGGCCGAGCGATTTAGAGGGACAAGGGGTCCCCCTATTTAGTTTATTTGGGAAACGTTGTTTGGGCGGGTCCTGGTGGAACTCAAAAAGCAGGACTATTGGGGGTCCCAGTCGATAGCATGCCATCATTCCGTTTCTGCCTGGTGAGCATTCCATACGCGACAATCTTTCGCGCTATTCCGTACCCTTTTCATTGTTCTGTGAGGCCGAAGGTTCGCGCTATTCTGAACCAATTCTTTGCTCATGTGGAAAAGTTAGCTGAGGCAGACTTGGGAGAGGCTGGTCCGTGAGAATCAGAGCTCGAAGCGAGTCCTTGTCAGTCAAAGCCAATCTTCACTGATTCGAGCAGGCGATGGCTACCCACAAGGAGGTGCAGGTCCGACTGCAAGCCTGTGAGTGAAGGTTGCGGCAGCATCCATTATTGCATTTAACGAGCAGATTTGTCCCGACAGTCTGAGCATCACATCTTTATTCTCGGAGTTTACCAAGGGCCGTGAGTTCGCTTGCTTCAAAGATGGCAGACTGTAATCTGCTTGGGGAATGGATGCAGCAGTTGCTGGAGATCTCTGCCAGTTGCTGGAGATATTTGCCAGCTTGTTTCAGCCTTACAGAAGGTCAGTTTGCCCTCCTCCATCTCTGTCAACACCCAAGAAGTCCATGCGGGAAACTGTGACTGGACAAGGCAAAACTCGGCATTTTACTGCTGTACTGCAGGTTTGCATTCTGACCCTTACAGCCTTACTGGTATTGCTGGGCCACACGGAGGATAACATGCAAAGTTTGGAAGTGTTTCGGATTATCTTCATCTTTTTGGGAGCATACAGCCTTCAAATGCAATCAAGGTGGATGGGGGCAAGCACTTCTGCAATCCTGTTGGGAGTTCTTGGTGACGCCCCAATGCTTAGGCATACTTAATGAATTGCTCCCCAAATTGGGAAGTCATGCGCTAGCTGCGCACCAGTTGACCTGTTGTGGAAAAGGAAGAAGGCTCCTGTGTTTATCCTCACCCGGTCAACTTATGCAGCAGGCCCTTCTTTCCAGGGTCCGGTGGACGGTCATTTGAAAGACCTGTCCATTTTCGTGGTTGCTCACTCCAAACCCTAAAGCCTAAACTCTGAACCCTCAACCCTAACCCATGCAAACCGCCTGAAGTTAGGGCACGCCGCGCTTGCAGAGTGCTCGAAGGAGCCGTGACTGCCATGTGGCTGTCAGCGCAAACAGCCTCACGAGCTCGTGGCACGGATGACAGGGCCAGAGAAGTGACAATGATGCAGCTGGGACCTAGGTCCCAATATACTATAGTAGTATCCTAAAATAAACCCCAATATACTATAGTAGTTTCCATTTTATTTTCCATTATCCCAATATTGAAGGTTTTTGACGGTCCGTGCAAACTGACTGCGAACGCCAGATTAAAAGTGAGTAGAGACAACTCAGACAAATCACCGTGCCATTTCTGCTCGTTGTTGATTGCGCTGTAGGAAGCATGGCAGCACCAAGCTTTTTACGAACACGAGTGCTATGTAGCAAAGACAGCTATGCAGGCATGGATCTTTGTATTTACATTGATTGTGACGGCTAGACGTCTCACTGAATCGCAGCGAGAGAGTCGGGAACGAAAACGAGTCCTGGATTGTGCTGCGTGGGTCTTGGTTGTCTGCCACGGCGTGCCCCTGACCCTCATTCAACCGACCCTTTGATGCGCAGCGGTTGCTCGAAGGTCTTACATTGCCCATGTGGTAGTTTTACCATGTCAGGCATGCCGCCAGCAGATCCTTATCAGAAGATTGCAGCTGTCTCAAGCGCACTTGCCACTTTCTTGTGTTTCTTAGAGAGCCTCTGTGGCCGAGCTGCCCGTCGCAGATCTCCCATAACGCCCATGGCTACCAGTGTCTTGCAGTTGCCTTTGCCAGCTACAGCCGAAGGCTGACACTTCAGACGGATGAAGGCAGCCCCGTGAGACATGTGGCCTCTGCAGGCTGCGAGAAGATCGTGATCAAGAAGACCTTCCTGGAGGTGGAGGAGGATGCTACCCCACACGGCATCTGGACAGAAATTTGCATTCTTCAGAGTCCTTTTGATGGAAAGTGGCTTGAGGTCTTCCAGCGAGCTACAACTCCGAGCCTTGGCTCAAGTGTCTCACACATTGAGTAGTTTCAAGTAGGAAGAAAAAGGCCCCTACAAGGGAGTAAGCTTGCACAAGTATGCCCGCTCACGTGAGCACCCGTCGGTTTGCTTTTGAGGATTCTGTGGTCTGGGCGCGCTTCACGCGGCAGATCAGCGACTGCATCTCAGAGCAGGACGTCCCCCTGCAGTGACAGCACAACTGTTCGCACAGAGCTCGCTGATTTCTGCCAGGACGGCCCAGTTCCGCTTGAGCCCACACAAGAAGAAGAGGAGGAGCCTAAATTGCTAAGCTCTTCCCGCTTCCCAGTCTCAGGGATCAGTCTTGGCCTTGCGTCTGTGAAGAGGAGCAAGGCGCCAAGGACGCGCCCGAGAGCTTGAACGGGAGCTCCCTGCCCAAGCTGCTCGGAAATGCTTCGCTGATGACAGTGTCAACGAGTGATGAGAAGGATGCGCAGGACCAATCAGCTTCAAGATGGATACAGATACAGCAAAGCCCGCTGCAAACAATGGATGCTTAATTGGGTCTGTATGGGTTTTTAGGATAATATAGGAGAATTACATAGTAGGTACATAAGGACCCTGGCATTAAGGGCCCATACTAGGGGCCCATACTCGCACGTAGTTCAAATCCGGAAGCGTGTAACCTGGATGCCAGGACTGCCTCTCCACCTCGGACGACAGCCCTCCCAGTATCCGTATCTGGCCAGCAGAAGGAGGTCCATGTGATGAGCTCCTGAGGTGTTTTTTTCATTGCAAAGCATATCCCTCTGATTGATAAGGCAACAAGACGAACAGGCTGGCAGCTGCCTTGGTTCAAAGTTCAGACTCTAAGCAACTGCATCAGTGTTCTTGCCCGAAGGTAATCGCCCCCAGCATGTCTACAGATTCCCTCGCAAAAAGAGTTGCCATAGTTTCCCTGCATACATAGTCTCCTGTCTCCTTTTGTCTGAGCCAACCTGCCATTTCTTATTCGGACCGGAAGCAACCCCACATCTTGAGATACTGTAGCAAGGTTTCAAATTTGAAGAAGGATTCACAGCCCTGGAGCTAGCCACGCCGTGTTCCTGCCTGTGATCTGATCAGTTACTCATCGCTGGGCCCGGAGCCCACAGAGGAGGCCTTGGATGAGGCAACCGAAAAGGCGCCCCAGGGACTTTCCAGTATGGTCATCTTGTTATCTTTTCGGCAGAATTGGGGAGTGCAGACGTGTGCATTTTTCTTGCAAGGGTAAAGTAGGTGGAGGATTGGAACTTTTCAACTGGGTGTTCTGAGCGCTTCTGGTGCATCATCAGCCTGGTGCAAGCATTGGGCGCATGGGATCGGAAACATGTGACAGGCCATGAATGCAGCAGCTGCAGCGCTGGATGCTGCAGGAATCTCCAGGTAGCCGGCTTGCTGTTCAGTTTCAGATTGCTGTGGGCAAATCGGTCCTGCGCTTCGGCTTGCTACAACTCATGCAGCCGCAAAGGCAGTCGCTGGACCATTTGCTCAACCACCTCTCCACCTCTGTGGCGCCCCGAGACAGTGCTAGAAGTCATACGAAGATATACGTAGCATATCCTAGTATGATGAGCTGGTCTTTGTCCTGCCCCGAGGCTCCGGCACCCCAGCCCGTCAGGCTGCTGCCGGCTTTGCCTGCACCGGGCCCACGCGCTCCGCGTACGACTGTCATGCTGCGGAACTTGCCCAACAATTACACGCGCAACATGGCCGGAAGCCTAATCCCCTCGAGCGGTGGAGGTTAATGCTTGAACAAAAAGTGAGGTCTGCACGATGATGGACAAGGAGGGCTTCAGGGGCTTGTACGATTTCATCTACCTGCCCATTGCTGCTTGGCTGCAAGGGCCTGCTTGCGTCAAATGCGTCCGGAGCGCGCAGTTTCCTTGACCAGTTTTCGTGCAGGACCGTCGCATCGACTACTCTAATTGTTTCTTCTGCGCAGGCTGACTTTCGAATTCCCAAAGGCCTGAAACTAAAAGATCCATATCTAGCTCCTGGGACTTCTGTTGCAAAGCCACGTTGAGGATTTCCGCTCGAAGGCCAACCTAGGCTACGCTTTCATCAACCTGATCGACGAGCCTAAGGACCATGGCGTTGGATCGCAAATGGATTCGGGCTTGAGTTCAGCGATTCAGGGTCCGGGCGTCTTAGAGTTGTAAAGCCTTCAAAAGATGCGACCGCGTTCGGGTTGATGTCAAGAAAGGCATGCAGATCTGCTGCTAACGTGATGTAGAGTCAGGTGTTGTAGGCATGTGGCCTACATCGCCCAGCCGGCAGGTCCAACAGTTTTGGCAGACCTTCGATGGCTACACGAAATGGGTTCTGCCCAGCGCGAAGGCTGGTGCGTAGCAGCAGCTTGCCTGTGCTGGAAGCAGATTTGTGAACGGCAGGTTTGTTCCGTGAGTTGGAGCGGACCACATCAAGGGCAGCAGGCACACATTGATCGATACAGGCCTCGTGGGTCAGCATGTCGTATAGAGGCACAGCCTGCAAAAAGACATGAAGTGAAGCTTGTCCAATTAGATTGCGGGTGTCAGTGTCTGCGGCCATGCTGGAAACTCACACCTTCGCCAGGGACAGCCCCATCATGCACGGCAGTGTACCGGATGAGTTCAAGCCAGCAATTTTTGCCCAAGGCAGGGTTTTGTCATCCTGCGAGGTGTGGAAGCATGATGTCGTAATGCTGCGTCTTGAGTGTCAACCCTAGTCCAAAACCACAGCCCGATTCTGTACTCCACAAATTGCACGACTTCCTCACAGATTATCTCTACAACGTTCCTATGCACTTCCTACAAATGCCAAAGCAATCCATAGAATTTAGGAGGACCCCCCACCCTGTAATAGTGGCATAATAAGAATATAAGAGGACCGTAATATAATCCCTATTATCCCTTATAGTCACTATTACTGGGTGGGGGGTCCACCTAGTATAGAATACTCTCGACAATTCCAGCCAGGGAGCTGATGTGAGTTGGCAAGACATTCTTAGGAAACAGGGCCCCATAGTTGGGCTCCACGGATCCCAAGCTCTTTATGGTAGTTTCCCTAAGTAGGGGGACCCCAATGTAGACCCCAAATATTGTAATTCCAGAATATGATAGTATCGGTCATGGAATGAAATTAAATTGACTACAGCATGGGGCGTCATGGAGATCCAGGGCTTATTATGCCCCAATAAAGAGTACTTTCCATTTTCTTTTCCGCTATCGTTATATTCCCTACATTATATAATTACCCAACTATACCCCTTTTTTAGGAGTAGGATTTGGGGTTTTGATGGAAATAAGGGAATTTGCGTAAACTACCATGATAATTATAATGGAATTTCCCAAAATTAGGTGTACCTTTTGGGGGAGTCCCAATAATCCTAAGCCCCCCATAACTCCAAACAAAAACCTAGCTCTCCCATGGGATGAGATAAACCCTACCCCCTAGATCCTAAAGCAAAAGCCTTAAACCTAAATCCTAAATCCCAGGCCCTAAACCTTAAATAGTAGTTTCCATTTTCTTTTCTCATTATCCCCATACAACCCTCATACAACCTCTATGTAAACTCTAATCCATCTAAATCCTAGGCCCTGCACTTGTAAACCCTTAAGCCCTTGATCGTGGGGATCCAGGTACCGGCCTCCGTCTCGACTTCCCGTTGCCAAACAAGAAGCTCCGTGCCCCCCGGAAGCGGCTACCGGGTGCCTTGTCTGGGGTCTTGAATTTGGGGTTTAGGGTCTACGGTTACCCCAATAATGGAGAATCAAATGGAAACTACCTTTATCCCTAGGCTTCCTAAGGGCTCCGCCTTTTGATAAACTCTCATATGAGATCACACAAGGTTTGCATTGGGAGGGTTGAACCAACAAAGATCATGTTCCTCTCACGTAATTTTACTCCATATGGCGGACTCTAGTATCTCCTAAACCCAAACCCCGAACCTCAAACCCTGAACCCTAGACCCCAAACCCCAAACCCTCAAAAAAAACACTTCATATATAACTACCTAACAGAGTGATTGTGAAGGATGTTATGGGTTTCCCATGTGAGGGGGCGGGCCTCAGAAACTTTCATATGGGTACTCCTTTTAGTGGGGTCTGCATCAGCTGATTGCGCAGCCCTCACAAGTTTATAGACAGCATCAGTCATGTCAATTCCTGTTAATCCTCCTGTTCTTCTTCTTCTGCTTGCGCTTCTTCTTGTTCTTACTGCGCTCCTCCTCCTCCTCCTCCTCGTTCTGCCTCATGAGCCTCCTCCTTTCGCTGCCAGTACTTTCTCTGACAATCTTCTTGTATGGGTACCGTTCGCCACGACTATCTAATGTGGCCCTGGCTGTTTTTGCCATCATTTTCTGCCTTGGAGGTGTTGGTCTTGATTCAGGTTTGCTGGGCGAAGCTTTGGGCAGGAAAGTGTGAGTGTGAATATTATGCCCGCATGGATCCTCAATACTGTAGGACCACTAAGACTTGTAAGAGCACTCTACCGCACTCCAAGTGGGGTAGACCAGAGCATTCCAGAAGCATTCCACGACTAGCTGCAAGACCACTCCAAAAGTCTCCAAAACCACTCCAAGACTGTTCGAAGCAAGCATGTCCGGCGCACGATGTGAGAGCATGATTTCGAGCCAACATGCAAAGATGCTCAACGACTCAGCACGATTTTGAGTCAAATTTGCGGGACACTCTATGCGAGAGCGCGATTTCGAGTCAAACTGGGAGAATGCAAAGCAAAATCCTTACTCCATCCCCTCCACAACTCCCCAGCTTCCTTGTTCTGCTCGCATGTGTACGCCAAGGACCTGACAAGGCTGAGCCAAAGACATCCAGCTGATGTACAGAGTACTCATGCTGAAAGGGGGATGTCAGGCAGATTTTTGAGACCAAATATCTTGAATTGTGTACGGTTGGGGCGTCTTCGGTTTTTCGCCTGCTGTGCTGTGAAAAGAGCGCACGAGGACACCCCTGACCTTGAAGTGAGGCCAGGGTCGGGAGCCATTGGATGGCTTGAGTCCCTCGCCTGTGGAGACTATGGAGTTTCCAAGATGAGGGGTCCCTCGTTTTGCATCCTTGCGTGAGAAATGCCTTTTGGGACCCATGTTTGAAAACTCCTGTTTGTGACCCCGGGCTTCCAGCGTGACAAGTGCGCTAGGCAGGAGTCTCTCAAAAGGGGCTCCCACTTTATGGACTTTATTTCTGCCATGCTGCATAGGTCAGTTTTCCTTGCAATTAATCTAGCGATTCTCCAGGTCCTGCTGCCGGATTCTTATGAAACCATCGTACTTTAAGCAGCCGGAAGGCAAGCTGTGCTGCTTTCCTGGCGCGGGACCTTGCAGATGCAACCGGGGCGTGGCTGCCAGAACTTTAGATCACGGCAGCGGCCTCCAACTGCAGCTCGAGGCTGTAGCGGCCACGAGCCGCATGCTTCGAACGTAGCATCTGCACGAAGCATGTCAATGTGTGGCGGCCAAGGCATCTCTTGTCTGCTACAAAGATAGTTTTTCAGTGACGGCAAAGCATTGTTAGCCAGCGGTATTCATGTACCAGGCTGCTGCCGGACCTGCAGGCAGATGCTGCGCGAAGCCTTTCATAAACATTGCAACGTGTTTGGGGCGCCTTGCAAGAGAGGCGAGGTTGGCAACGAGCAGCCTGCTCCACTCAACCATGCCACTCCTGTGCAGCTGACAAGGTTCCTGAAACATGTGAAACCAAGCTGCCAAGCACGGGCTGTTCGCACTAAACAGATCTGCGTCATGTCCGAAATTCAGTTAAACATCAATATAGGTGTTGGCACACAGCAGTTCCCTCCAATCTTCCAAATCAGCAGGATACATGCAAGCAAAGCTGTTTAATGTGAGCAGCAGAGCTGGTGGGCGAGGTTTTCCCACCGCCCACGTGAGCTCAGTCCGTGAAGTTCCCTGTCCAAGTTGGAATTCACCTTGGAGTCGTGCACCAGTCACGACAGCCCGGCATTACCTCCTGCAACGGTCCACAAACAGTAGTGCATGGTGATACGTAGAAGATCAGCTTATCATCATGAAGATTGTATCCTGAAGCGTCTTGTGACGGTTTTGGGTCAACTGCCCAACAGACGTCCCAAGACTGGGAACCGCCGGGCCAATGCCGCAGCGGATCACCATCAGGACTCTTGCTCATGATTTCCTGGCATATGCAGTTCGCTCCCAGTAGTGTCATACAGGGAAGTCTTTGCAAGATCCTTTCGGTGTGCCTCCTATTCTTCCTGGTGCACAGCAGATGTAGAAGTCGGTCCCTGCTGTGGTCCCCAGATGAGAAACCACAATTATCCTTCCTTCCCGGCAATTTTTTCCAAGCACCAGGAAGTCTTCACCTTTCCTAGTACTTTTCCCTTGGAGCGCAGCACCAAGGCAGCCAAAAGATTTCGAGGCACCCCTGCACGAGCAGCTGGAAAAGCTGGGCTTGCAGACCTTTGAAAGTAGGCAACGTGGAGACGGGTGCTGGTCAACAGAATTCCTGGCTTAATTTGTCCAAAGCATTTAGAAAGGATTTCTATGCTGAAGTTCACATCCCGACAGCTGTAATCCAACCGGAAATGCAACCTGCAGCAATTGCGAGCTGCTCTCTGGGCTGCCATCACTCATACTTGCTTGTTCATACTTGCAATGTTGGCAATAATTGCACGTTGACGGTTGCTATACAAACGAAGTTACAGCTGCGGCTTTCAATTTTTCCTGAACGAAATACTTCTTGCTTGTGATCTAGTGGTTCCCTCAGACCTTTTAGAGCACCTCATTTGCCGTAGGAAATGCAAGCACCATGGGGGACAGAGTGGAGTGGCTCGCGGAACAGCCGATGTATGCCATCTAGTACGAGCATAATGACTCATCCACCTTCTCCTTGCTGCGGAACACCCTCCTGCACAGCCAGACGCGTTTGATACCTCGGTTTCCGGAATTGTTACGGCCTAAGCTCGAAACTGGCCCGAATTTGGCAATGTGCCATCAATTTAAATCATACCACCCTTGGCATCTTCGGTGCTTTAGCTTCAGCTCTAGCAAGAGACAGGCTTTGTGACTTGAAGATCCTACCAAGCAACCCTGTGCGTGATATTTGTGTCCTAGCTTCTCAATCCTGACCGAGGAACGATGTGGATCTGAAAGGATTCGATGTGCGTTCTAGCTCGTCATCAGTTGAAATTTGTGCATGTTGGCTTGCACGTGCCAGCTAGTATTGAGGGTGCATTTCCGCGTCCTGCGCAGTGGCTTGGACCAGCTTGGAACCCTGTCGGGCCCATCGATGTTCTGTTTTCTACCTTCTTGTTTTTCTTTTTTGCCAGCTTTGCTGCCTCTTTGAGTTGTGCTGTGCGAGATAGCTGGGTTGATATGTGCCGACATCCTGTTGAGCCAGTGCAACGCGCAACACATCTCCAGATGCTTGCTCACATGTTCCCGACAGAGTTGTGCCGAAGGCTTGCAGCGATGGCTGGAACAACGCAGCCGGCTCAACATGGCAGGCTCTCAGTGCAAACAGGCAGCGAAAGGTAAAACGGAATCCCGCCGCCGACACAGTGAACACAACGTCGACACACTTGACCAGGGCCTGCAGCATCTGTCCTTTGCGAAGGAACTGCTCGACAGGACGTGGCACATGGCATCATTGAACCCCGCAAGCAATCTGCTTACCCGAATTCGGCCGTGCAAGGCTTCGAGGTCATGCATTTCTGGCTTGCGATGGCATGGCAGAA